AGAGATTCAATCTTTCTGGACCTCAGGTTCCTCATCTGTAAAATGAGGATCTTGATACCAATCGCCCAGTGAGGTTGAAAGGATCAAATGGAGTAACGGGGTGCCGCTCATACAGCTGTTTAGTGCAAGGCCTGGCATATGGTAAGCACTCAGAGAGGGAAGAGGATTATTCTAATTATTTCAAATAAGAATAGAGCCTTTTGTTGGGGAAAGATTCTACTTGACTGATTGCATGAAGAAGGTTCTTTGTTCCTGTATGAGGGACCACTTGAGGTACTAGGTAAGGCTTCAAATCCACATGCCTCAGTCAGAGCCTGCTGTCACTACCGAAAAGTTCTAGGAGCTCGAGCAATTCAATTCTCTCAGTCTCCATTCCTTCACTTATTAAAAAGAATTGATAATACCCACACCAGAGGGTTTTTGTGAGGATTAAAGACATAGGCCTGGCACATAGTAGGAGGTCAATAATTGAATTTCATAGCATAAGGAAAATCATTTCCACCTATAGGAGTTGCGGTATCCTGTCGCCATTGTAACAAGTACAGACATATCTTAGTCCAACAACCCATGTACATTTCTTTGCTTCCCTGTAATTTAATTTTTATTCCCTCCCTCATTTCACAGGTGGCCGAAATCTAATCTCATCGACCCAGGCTCTGATGCTCCTCTTGTCTGGGGTGGTTTTGGGAAAGAGGGGCTTGCAGAATGCCAAGGAGGGTGGGGTGGGGAGTCTGGGCACCTGGTCCTTGATCATGGTCCACCTGTGCTGGCATCTGCTGGGGTATCTCCATCCGTCTGGTCACACTGGTCCACACTGGCAGAGCAGTCACCTCTCATGTTCCCAAATACAGGGACTTTCAGATGTGCAGGCGCTCAGGGCCACGTCCGTGTCCCTCTCAGCTGTGTGGGAAACTGTCTACAACCCCTAGGCCACAGGATGGCCTACAGGTCTTTGGGCTGCCTCAGGCCTGCCTGCCCCTTCACCATGGGCCTAGGCATAGGGGACCCTGGGGTCCTGCCACTTCCCCAGGGTTTGCCCAGAAAACGGGCACAGCTGCCTCTATTCTCGAGTCCCTCACGCCACGTCGCCCCCTTTCTGGTCCAGATGACCTTGATCTGTCCGGCATGGTAGCTTTCACCCATCTTCCAAATGTATCATCAGTGCCCTGAGTGCTTCGCAGCCTAAAGCCCAGGCTGTCACAACTTCAGAGCTTAAGCCCTTGACAACAAAATACCTTACCTCTGCTTTTTTCATTATATCATCCCTTCTCAAAGGCAAAGCGTGCCTCTGACTAAATGAGGAAGGGTGAAAGAAAGGAAAACAGGAGGGAGGAGAAACCTTGGTTGATAATTTAGACTACTTTTTGACCGCACTGTTTTTATAGTACACGTTGAGAAAGACAAATTAGGAAGTACACAAAAATGGGAGGCAGGGGAATCTCACTAGGCTTGAAAATATTTTTGACGTTACTGTGATCTCCCTGTGGTCTGAGCCCTTCCGTCTTGGGGTCCTGGGTGGGGGTATTCTTTCCCTGAGCCTGGGGACAGGACTTCTGGAAGATCCTGCTCTGTTGGCAGTAAGGCTGGTACCTTCCGCCCAGCCTGCCTCTTCTGCAGCCACCGCCCCCCAGCAGAGGGCCGTCCTTGACCTGTTGTCTTTCTCGGTCCGCCTCGTCAGCACCCCCATTGAGCATGCTCCAGTGTGCACCAGCCAGGCCACCACCCCGCTGCTGCCCGCTTCTGCCCAGCCGCCTGCTGCTGCCTCTCCCAGCGCAGCCTCGCCACCCCTGGCCACAGCCGCTGCCCATGCTGCCACTGCCTCTGCCGCGGCCCCTGCCTCAAGCCCTGAGGACAGTCCAAGGTAACTGGCCCACAGGTGCCAGCCCTGGCTGCGGGGAAGGGAGGCAGGAAAGGCCTCCCCCGGGTCCATCTGTTGGCAGCTGTGTTGGGTCCTCAGAAAGGTCCATCCAAAGCGGTTAGGACCCCAGGGCCCTGGGGACGCCAAGGCTCTGCACTGCTTGGTGCTGAGAGTGAAGGGGAAACTGGAGGTGCATTTCAGGGAAGCTCACTGGGACGTGTCACCCTGCCCCAGGGGCACATGCTCTAGGGAGAAAGGTGAAAGTCACACACACACATACAAAGTTAAATAACGAAGGGAGACTGTGTGGAAAGTCCGTGTTCCTGGAGCTGGGATTACAGAGAAAGAAGGGAAATCAAGGGGGCCTCCGTGGAGGAGGCTGCGGTAACCCACTGAAGGCAGGTCAGATTTGGGCAGATATTTAGCAACTACCTTGCCTTCTTTTGATGGAGAAGCATGCTAACTCCAGAGGCGCCTGATGGAGTGGGATTTACATCTCTGCTCTACCACTTACTGCCTCTAACCTTCAGAAAGTGATGTAACTCCTCTGAACCTCAGTTTCCTCATCTGCTAAGGCATTAATGCAAAGCCTATTTTATAAGGTCAGGATAGAAAAAGTGTACATAAAACACCTAGCACATAATATGCTCTCAAGTATTGCAGGTTACTGCATTCCTGCCTGCCCTCATGGATACTCAGCCAAGTCGGGGGAGGGGTGTGTTGAAGGGTGTGTTGAAGGGTGTGGGGAGGCAGAGGGGGTGGGCTGGACAGGTCATTCTGGAGCCGCCAGGCAGTGTAACAGGCCAGGCAGGCCCAGCTCTTTCTGGGCTGTGTGGAGCTGCCAAGTTGGTGTTTGGGGTCAGAGCCAGCTTTCCCAGTCGCCACACTCCCCTCCCAGGGTTTTGCTGGAAAGAGACAGTTCTAGGTCAGGGTGCATAGTTCCCTGGTGTAGCCTGAGGCCCATGAAGGGTCGGCAAAGTGGCCTGTGTGCTGCGCCCCTACCCCCGGGCTCCACAGTGACCCAGGTGGTGCTGAGCCCAGCCTTTCCCCATCCCAACTCAAGCATCAAGGGTGAGCCTGGCCCAGGCTTCCAGTGCTCCTCATATCCCAGCTTCCTGGGGACATGTAGCAAGCTGCTTCCCTTCTGCACACCGGAATCTCTTCAGGTAATCTCTTCAGAATCTCTTCAGGCCTTGCTCCCTGCACAAAGAAGAAACCTTGAGAAGGATAAGATATATCCCTGCTGTCTAGTGAGAAGATGCCTCCCCAGTTTGAAGGGAGTCTTTAGATGCTGCGGCCCCGTGGATGGTCTAGCCTCATCCCTGGGGCCTCAGCCCTGTTCAAGGGCAAGCTCCAGCACCCGCTCCAGGCCTCCATGTCTGGGGGCCCTCGGGACTCCCTCAACAGGACAAACCCTTCCTCTACTTTGCCTTGCAAAGAGATGTGAGGCCTGGGTGGAGGCTGGAGAAGGACCTGGAGGGCTCCCTGCATCAGGCTGGAGCAGAGGGGGCCAGGGGACCACGCTCTGGGCCCAGCTACCTTCCCTCCTTGCACACGGGCTGGGATGGAGCTAGAGGGAGCCAATGGGAGACAAATGGACGCCCAACGTGGCCTCAGAATTCTTGCTGGGTATCTTAAGTCTCTGCTTGCGGCCCCAACACCAGTCTCTGGCAGAGGACCTGTAGTTCCTGAGATGCTGGGAAAGCATCCTCCACTGGTGGGAGAGTCTGGCCTTCTCCTGCCACAGTGGAAGCTGGGCACCTCTTGGACACGGCCTCTTTCTCTTCCACTGAGGCTCCTACTCCACTGGTCTTAACAGGGGTATATCAGAGAAGGGCAAGCCCAGGGAGGGGAAACAGTACCCTCATTCAGCCAGAAACACGGCAGCTTGGCGTGGCAAGCCCCCAGGTCTGGGACACTGGCTCTCTGAGACTCATTCTACCTCCAATTGTCTGGGACGTCACCACAGACCCTTCTGAATCTATTTAGGAGCCTGGCGGTGGGTTCTTAGCTCAGGGCAACCCACTCCCAGAGCCCTAGAGAAGAAGGTATTCCCTTATCCTGTGACTCTGCCCAAAGGCAGGCAGGAAGCCATGGGTGGGCAGGGGTCAGTATATTTTAAGGGGCTCACTACTCCAGCGCTCCCATCAATGCCCCATTTGCCCTAGGGGTGGTCATGTCATCCCCGTTAGGATGTGAAAGATGCAGGGAGAGACCAGGGACATGTTCTATAAGGTTTCATTAGTTGTAAATGAAAAAAAGAAGGGGGGGGTTCACTGACTAATGGAATTGGGAAACACTGGATCAGACAAAGTTAAACAGACTGCTTAGCTGTAGGAGTTCTTGGAGCCTTTAGTTCTCTAGGAGGAGAGGCCAAGCACAGCATTTCCTGAGGGCAATGAACTGGAACTTTTTTGTTTTTCCATCTCTTTGGTCCCATGGTCCCTGGGTCACAAGTGGGAAAAGGCTGCTTTAAGCTTCTTGGCAGCTATTCCACTGGGAGGAGGGCAACAGGAATCCTGTATGGAAGAGGAGCCTCTAAGTGTGTGTAGGGGGGCCGGGGGGGGGGTCTCCTGGCCTCCCATGAGACCTCCCCAGAGCACTCTTGCCCAGAAACCTGAGACTCTGCTGCTCCCTCCAGCAACAATAGAAAGGGGGAGGGGGAGGAGGCCAGGTGGTCTGAGGCTGTGAGGTGCCCCAAAAGGTCAGGAGGTGGAGGGAGTAGGGTAGCTCTGAACATCTCCATCTCCCCTCTCTCCTTCCTCTGCCCCCTTCCCTGCCCCAGCCCCCATTCCACAGTCTCTACCCAGGGGTTGAAGGGTTTTCACTGCTCCTATCTGGCTGGTGCCTTTACTCCCTCTCTCCTAAGGCAGTGGCACCAGCAATGGGCTGTATTTCTCAAGGTGTCTCTGCTACTCTAACCAGACTCACCAAGACTCAGCACCCAAGGAGCAGCTTCCTCCCCCTGAGACCTCCATGGTCTTTCCTTCTCAGCCTCTGGCAGCTCCCCAGGGACATCTTTGTCAGGTTTCCTCCTGAGAGGCTCCTTAAAGATCTGGGAGCCAGCCTGCTGTGGCTCCAGGCCCCAGGGCCCGGGTGGGGCTGTCCTTCTGGCTGTTAACTCTTACCCCCTTGGTTCCAGGCCCCAGGCCTCTGCCTACAGTCCCGCTGTGGCCACCTCTCCAGCACCTGCCGCCCATACATACAGCGAGGCCCCAGCTGCCCCTGCACCCAAGCCCCGGGTTGTCACCACTGCCAGTATCCGGCCTTCTGTCTACCAGCCAGGTGAGAGGCAGAGTGGGAAGGGAGGCTGTCTAGGCTGGGCGTGGGCTCCAGGGCTCAGCTCCAAAGCCACGTCCCCCTGAAGGATGGTGGTTATAGAGGCGCTGCTAATGAGGTTTCAGCCTTCCTTCCTCCAGTTGTGGGCCAGAATCCTATGGAAGCTGCCTCTGGTGCTGGGGAGACAGGTGGCCAGTGCCAGGCAGGGATGGGGCCTCCCAGCTCTTGGGAAGAGGACATTCCTGCCTGGGGATTTCCAGGCTCCAGGTGAGGAAGAGAGGGTTTAGAGGGGAGGGGCTTGTTCCTCCAGGAGTCGATCTGGCTCAAGGCAGAGGATAGGCAGCTGTAACAAAAGTGCCACGGGCTTTGAACAGACCTATGGCATAATGTGATGCTGGGCAAACTGCTCACCTAGCTGGTCTTTGGTTTCTTCAGCTGGGACAGGCTAACTAGAGGCATGGAGAGCACATGTGACAGGTGGGAGAGTGGCCCACACAGGGTCTCCAGGTGGCTGGCCTCACTGGCTGGCTGTTCCATCGCTCTGGTCCCCATTCTCATCACTGCGGGGACGAGGGCTCAGCCTCTGTCTTCCCTTTTCCTAGGCAAAGTTGGGCCTCTCCCCAGAGCTCCAGGGCGGTTCTCAGGCTGGCTTAGACCCCTCCTTCCCCTGCATGCCCCTGCTCAGTGAACTTAAGGGAAGATAAGACAGGGACTGAGGCAGGAAGCACCTTGCTTGGGGGAGTTGACTTGATGTGTAGGGCAGAGGAGCCACAACCAGCCCTCTGTTCTATAAGTATACTCTGACATTAGTGCTGAGTGTGTAGACGTGGCTTTAGCATCAGACTCCGGTGCCAGGCTCCGCTCTGCTATCTAAGGCAGAGTACTTCATCTCCCAGGCCTGTACTTCCTCGTTTAAAAAATAGGCATATTATGTACACCTGGTGCTCTGGGGATGAAATGAAGCACCCAGCACAGTGCTTGGCACACAGGAGGTGCCCTTCTCTGTCTCTTCAGAAGCAAGAACACAAAGTTCTGAGGTTAAAAGTCCACAGGATTAGGAAGCAATTTGCAGCGGGCTGCTGTGGTGAAAAATCTCCTATGGAGGTAGAGGAAGCAGCTGCTCTGCGGAGATGGGGGGCACAGGAGGGAGGGTGATAAGGAGTTGGGAGGAGCAGCGGCGGATGGAGGGGGCGCAGGGAGAGCATTTCCGCCCGGGTGCGGGCTCCGGTCCCAGGCAGGTCCTTCTGGGCATCTTCCGGGGCGGGCCCTGGGTTTCGGCTCGCCCGCCCCGGCCGCCGGCTCTTCTCTGCAGGCCCGCCAGGGGGCGGCACGGCTCCGGGGGCGCGCACCGCCGGGCCCCCGACTGGCGTCTGTCTCCTCCTCCTTCCGGCACTGGAGCCCGGGGCGGGGCGAGACGTGCTGGAGCCCTGGAGCTGCCGGCCTCTGCTGAGTTCCCAGGCCTTGCAGACGTTAACTCATTCCTGCCCGGAGGGAAGGAGGCCGCCGGGCGGCGCGCGCCTGAGCAGGCCTGCCTCTGCCCCCTCTCCTGAGGGTGGGGTCCCAGGGAGGCTGGCAGGTGGTGTGGGGAGAAACGAGGATCGTGGACCCGGGACCCTCCCCTCCTCTCCACCGCCGACCCCGGGCCCGGGGAGAGCGGGGAGCCCGCGTGCCGTCCGAGCTGCAGCTCCCCGCGAGGGCTCCTCCGTGTCCAGAGTGGAGTTCGCAGCCCAGATCTTATCGCCTGCACCGAGGCTGGGTGGCCGCTCCCCGGAGCACCTGGGGCCCGGGAGAGGGCCGTGGGCAGGGGGCCCCCCACTTCCACCCCGACCCGCACCCCCGCGGGGGCTGTGCGCTCGCAGGAGCCGGGCCCGACCTGGAGTGAGTCAGAAATCACCTTGTTTAATTACACCATTCCCGAGCTAACGAGTGCGATAGGGGCTTTTGAACTTGCCAATTAGAGATGAAATATCACCTTCTAATTTGGACGGGCTTTATTCCGTCAAGCAGAAATAGCAACAGCCCAGGGCTCGCAGATGGGATATCAAGTCTCTCTCCTGGCACGTCGGGGATGGTGGGGCCAGCCAGGCTGAAGGGCGCAGAGGGAAGGGAACTGGGAAGCAGCTGCTCCTCACCGGGGACCTGATGGCTGAGGGAAGCTGCCGGCCTGTGCCTCGAAGAAGGGAAGGGCCCTAGCTCTGGGAGGGTGTAGTCTTGGGCAAGGAGGCAGCCCACCCGGGGCCCAGATGCCAGGTGCCTCTGACATGCTGAGACCTTCGTGTGGTGGGGATTTAGAAAAGGGGGGTGGATCATGGAGTCTGGAAGGCCTTCCGAGGAGGGAAGAGAATGGCTTCCAGGCAAAGGGAATAGGGTTAGTGTTGCTGGAGGGAAGCTGGAAGTGGGCAAGGGCCCGATTTGGAAGGGGCGTGCTAAACCTTGTTTTGCCGCCTAGGGAGTGGTTAAGCAGGGAATCTGGAGTTGAGACCCGCTGCCTGAGTGCCAGTTTCAGCTCGGCGTTTCTTAAATTCTCCAAGCCTCAACTCCTCTTCTATAAAATGGACTTGAAAGTACTATCTGCCTCATTGGATTGCAGCGAGCATTACGTGAAATAGTGCACGTAAGGGCCCTGGCATGTGGAAGCGGTCAGTACCCGGTAACCGTTGTTCTGATTAGGACAGCGCCGTCCAATAACAATACATTTCCTAGTAGCCACACTTGTTAAAAGGAAGCAGGTGAAATTAATTTTAATATATTTTATTTAACTCAGTATATTCAAAATATCATTTCAATGAACAATCAATATAAGATTATTAGTGAGATATTTTACTTTCTTTTCTTGTACTAAGTCTTTAAGAATTGGTGTGTATTTTATATTTATAGCATGTTTCAGTTTGGACTAGCCGCATTTCAAGTGCTTAATGGCCACATAGGGCTATGTATTGGATAACACAGGATTAGGGCTTTCATTCTTAATCCCTTTTAGCAGAGATTCCCCACACACACACTTTACAAAAAAAAAAAGGAAATAAGATCTTGCACAGAACCCCATTATTCAGAGAGGGCTGAAGCTGCTCTAGCATTTTGAGACCCTCTGTTCCAGGCACTTGGGAGCTATGCAAGCTTGTTAGGGAGGGCGACAACACCTCAAATATGGGCTTCACAGGTTTACTAGTGCATGCAACATGTCACTCCAGTAGGTCCCCACCCTGTGAGGCAGACAGGGATGTCACACCTACCACCACTGATGACTAGACTCAGTCCCAGGTTACTGACTTCAGGGGTGCCACATCTCCCACCGCCTACATCCCACAGTCTCCCTGGGCTGGTTTCTCTCAGGTGACCATCAAGCTGTGAGATGAGCTGACAGTTCATCTGGACCATGAGACCCAGGAGTCACTCTCCTCACCGTCTTCACTAACATTTAATGACACATACACAGTGCCAGGTACAAGGCTAAGCCTTTATAGTTCTTACCTCCCATCATCCTTATAACAACCCTGTGAGGTACTAAGAATTATTATAGCCATTTTTAGACGAGGAAATTTGGGCCTAGAGACGTTAAGGAACTTGCCCAAGGACACACAGCCAGGATGTTGTAGAGCTGGGACCTGAACCCAGGGTTCTTGATGGCTGTGCTACATGCCAGACCATGCAGCCTCCTCCAGGTTGATAGGTACTCCTCCATAATGTGGTGCACCCAAATCTTCTGGAACTTGGACTCATGTTTTTTACAGAGGCAGCTTGGGGTGATAGAAAGAATGATTTTGGAGATTCACTCTGCCACTTACTAGCTCTGTCTGAGCCTCAGTGACCTCAACTGTAAAAGGGATTAATCCAGATGACCTGTTATGTGCCTAGCCTACCCTCTTAGTAAGTGGGAAGAAGATTTCCTTATGGAGAAAGTTTTACCTTTGGAAGCCAGCGTCACTCCCAGGATGGCTCTAGGGCAGGGCTGGGGAGGGTTTTACCCCTTCTGTTTTCAATAACACAGGCCGGGTCCCTATCCGTTCCCAGCACGGGGGTTTCCATGTCACCCACCTCTGAAGGGCCAATCATATGGGAGTAGAAGGTATGGGGTTGGAGCAGCAGGCTACAGGCCACCTAAGGTAATCTAGGGGAACCAGGTGGGGAGAGACCAAAGGCCAGGCCGGGAACTTTAGCCCTGAGAATGTCCTTCCTTTCCAGGCTGGAGCCTGATGGGGGCTGCCTCAGCATCTATCAGCACAGTCCATTCACCAGGCCAGACTCAGGAATGGGGAGGGAGGCTGCCCCGACACACTTCCTGGGGTAGGGGGAATGAGGCCTCTTTCCAGAGGAACAGACTGTAAGCTGAGGTGAGGCTTCTGGAACCTCCCTCCCTAGGAGGGGAAGCTGGTGAGACCATGTGTGCTGGACACAGCTGGGTCTGCCCCGGCTGGCTTTACAGTGGGAGGCAGCAAAACTTAGAAACCTGGATTTTGAGGGCCCAGGCCTCGGAGGGCTTTGGGTAAGCAGCTGCTATGCTCCTTTGTGTTGCCGCCCTAAATCAGTTTCCACCAAGGTGATGAGGGGGAGCATGTGTCCCCCAGAGGCAGCCACAGGCTGAGGGAGCAGCTACACCTAGGCTGTGTCACCCCAGCATCTCTGCCCAGCTTCCCTCCGAATACTGCCTTCAAGACCCACCACCCAAATGAAACCAAAATGGAATTTCCCCCCAGTACAAATCAAGCCAAGCTGTTTTTCAAGAAAACGATTGTAGCTAAACCTGAAACCTGAACCTGAAAACCTAACTGTCCCGTCATCTGCTTTGTCCCAAAGGCTGGACTTGGTCCAGTTCAGCAAACGCTTGTGATTGAGGCATTTCAGATGTCAAATCACTGGTCAGAGTGCAAACAAAGGCATCTTCCAGTCAAGGCCAAGCTGACCCACTCCCACCCTCTTCCTGGCCCAGGGGATCCAGATATGAGCCGGGCCCGGCCACCCCTGCCCCCGTCCCTGTCTCCTGCAGGCCTCTGGCAGCCAAGGCCTGGCAGAGCCGCACCCCGCACAGCTGCAGGTATTTATAGCCCTGTCCCTTCCCAGCCCTGTCCAAGCTCCCGAGGGCTCTGCTCCGACGGCTGTTTATCTCCCTTGGCTCCCTGCTGCAACTTCAAATCGAGGCCATCAAGAAGTTCAGGGACGCGTCTCCTGTAAAAACTGGCATTGTGCTGCTCTCATATTAAAGTTGTCTTTTCCAGTTCTCTGGCTGGGGGCGGGGGAAGCTCGGAGAAATGAATTCCTGACACATTTTTCTTTGGGTATTTTTGGCTTGCAGTGCCTGCATCTACCTACAGCCCATCCCCAGGGGCCAATTACAGTCCAGCCCCCTACACCTCCTCCCCTGCCCCCGCCTACACCCCTTCCCCTGCCCCCGCCTACTCCCCCTCCCCAGCACCAGCCTATACCCCCTCCCCAGCCCCAAGCTATAATCCTGCACCCTACAGCGGGGGCCCTGTGGAGTCTGCCAGCCGTCCCCCATGGGTGACAGACGACAGCTTCTCTCAGAAGTTTGCCCCTGGCAAGAGCACCACCACTGTCAGCAAGCAAGGCCTGCCCCGAGGGGCCCCTGCCTACAACGCACCACCGGCTCCGCAGGTGTCCCCCCTTGCCAGGGGTACCGTGCAGAGGGCGGAGCGCTTCCCAGCCAGCAGCAGGACTCCGCTCTGTGGCCACTGCAACAGCATCATCCGGTAAGGGCCAGCTGTGCCGCTGTGCTAGGGTACTGGGACGAGAGGGGGACGGGAGGGCAGATGTAGGGAGAAGGCCGCATGCAGGACAGCCTCAGGTCCCTCTGGCTTGCCATCTGGTCTGACCCTCTCTGAGCTTTAGCTTCCATACCTGCGTGATACCCACTTCCCTGGGGAGTTGGGAGGATTCCACGAGGTGAGTGGGTGAAGCTCCCAGCATGGTGCCTGTGCCAGCACCGCCCCCTCGGGCTAAGGCTGGGTTCTGGGAATTGCAGGTCTGGATGGTAGATTTATTGGGCCTGTTGCAAGCTGGCTGACAGTGCTAGTTTTGACCCAGCTTTCCTTCCTTTCGAGGTGCTCCTGGGTCTGTCCACAGACAAGCCCGTGCTGCTCAGGTCTTTGGTGGGCATCTGCCACACTAAAAGGAAAACAAGTCATTTCATGCTTAGAGGCCAAGGATCATGGGTGGTACTTGTTTGAATATAGTATGTTTATAGTATGTGCATATGTGTGTGTGGGGTGGGCTTGTGTATATGAAAAATACACTTTTATTTAAAAATAAAGTATCATTAGAAAAAATATACTCATTAGAGAAGAATTAGAAAATTCAGAAAAGTAAAAATTAAAACATGAAGCGTTTCTTCAGTCCCACTGTCTGACTACTAACCTGGAGCCAGGTTTGTGTCCCAGGTCTACCATACCAGCCCTAGAGCCTTGAACAACTTACTTAACATCCCTGTACCTCAGTTTCCTTATCTGAAAATGCGTATCATAATAGTACCTGCCTCATAGGGTTGTCGTGAGAATTAAACACGTTAAATAATGCAAATTTCTTCTTGAATGGTACCTGGCACAGAGTAAGCACTTAATAAATGCTAGCCATTAGCACCGTCATCATTGCTCTTCTTACTACAATTATCAGTAGTCAACCTAATGGATATTCCATAACATACTTACCCAGTCCCCTGCTAGTGGATGTTCGAGTCGCTTCCCCATCTCTGTTTGTTGCAAGTGATGAAACAACATCTTTTTGCATGGAGCTTTATCTGAATTTCCTGTTATTTCACTAGAACAGTCACAGAAGTTATAGCGTTATAGGGTCAAAGTGTGAATATTGTTGAGCGTTTTGAAATATCTGGTCTTAAGCTTTGGGGGCTGCCTTAGAGGAGGTACTATTCTCTGCTTCCCCAGGGGCCCCTTTCTGGTAGCCATGGGCCGCTCCTGGCACCCAGAAGAGTTCAACTGTGCCTACTGCAAGACCTCCCTGGCAGACGTGTGCTTTGTGGAGGAGCAGAACAACGTTTACTGTGAGCGGTGTTATGAGCAGTTCTTTGCCCCGGTCTGTGCCAAGTGCAACACCAAAATCATGGGGGTAAGTGGGCTGCATTCCTCTCCTCTGACCCTTGTCTCTTTTCCAACCAATCTCTCCTCCTCCGCAAGGTTGTGGGGTCCTATTTGGAAGCCAAGAAGTTGCTGTGCTAACAGAGCAAGAACAACTCCATTTCTGTCCTAGAAGGGAGTTGGTTTGCCACCAATGAACTAGGGAGTAAATGAACTTGAAGCAAGAGATCCGTGGGCCACATCCCTGGCCACACAGCTTGCAGTGGTGGCAGAGCTTCTGCAAAGCAAGTTACTGCTTCATAGCCTGACCTCACCGTGCACCTGCATGTGGCTTTGACCCTCAATGCCCCTTTGGTAAAATGGCGATAACACATAGTACTTCCCTCCCAGGTTGGGTGGGAGGGTGAAGCATCACAGCTTATGGAAGCACACACAGAACCTGGCACCCAGCAAGTGCTGCACGAGTAGGAGCCTCTCCTCTGCCGCCCCTAGCCTTCTGCGGTGTGTCCAAGGCCCGCTTCTTGGGCTCTCCTGCCCTGCTCCCTGATGGGATGCTCCGGCAGTGACCGGGGCTGGTGTGGAAGTTAAGCCTGCCTTCTTCTCCCTCCTGGACCTTTCTGTCCTGAGCTGAGGCTCTTTTCCCCAGGAAGTGATGCATGCCTTGAGACAGACGTGGCACACCACCTGCTTTGTCTGTGCAGCCTGCAAGAAGCCCTTCGGGAACAGCCTCTTCCACATGGAAGATGGGGAGCCCTACTGTGAGAAAGGTAGGACCTCTGTGCTGTGGGGAGGCCCCACAGTCTGGGAGAAAGGGGTAGGAGTTCCCTTTCACACACGTTCAATCTGTGCTGTTTTCCCTGCACCAAATATGTGGACCACAAGTCGGCATCTTGTGACCGCTTAGGAAACCTTTCAGATGATTTTGATCTGAAGACCACAAGGTCTAGTCTGAAAAAGCTTTGGCGCCGGCCTTTGTCCTAGGTTCTGTTCCAGGCTCCTGTTTCAGGCTGGCTTTGTAACCCTGATTGAGTTACTAAACTTCTCTGAGCCTCACTCTCCCCATCTGTAAGAGGGGGAGATCAACACCTGCCTCCCAGAGTTGTGGTGAGGATTAAACCAAAGAAACTTCGGAACTAGTCAAGTACATGCAGGTCCCCTCCCAGCTCCTGTGATGTTTACCAGACTTTGATGTTCCTTCAGCGTCCAGCCAACTCCCTGTCTGAATTCGGAGTTTCTCTGTTCTCCCCATACGCTATATGTTATAACTTGGAGTCAATTACGGTAAATTCTGAAGATAAAGCCATCTGTTAGAGTTGGGCATCCTGGCTAACTAACCATTCAGTCACTCACACATTCACACACTCATTTATTCATAGCCTGCCTCTTTCAGATAAGGATTTGAGGCAGGTTCCAACAAAGGCGACAAAAACATGAAAGTTAAGACAATAGAACTAGCAAAGCAGCACCAAGAAGAAGAGGGAAAAGGAAACATGCTGATTATGAAGAATAACAGAGCTGCACTGACTGGGTAGCAAATGTGAGAGCAAAAAGAGAAACACAGTAAGTTAGTTTACTTTAAAACCAGAAAGGAGAAAACATTCCAGTTCTTCAAGGGGAAAAGGAAAACAAAATTAAAAAATTTTTCCCCCTGACAATAAATTATAGAAGAAACTTCTTGGGTTCTGAGGTACTGGTGAATTCTCTTTCCAGCTCTGAGGCTCACTGAATGACTTTAAATAAGTCACTCAGTCATTCTGGCCTCAGAGTTCATATCGGTAAAAGGGAGAAGATAACACCTGTCTTTTCCCTTCTTAGGAGGAAATGGTGATGATTGGTAATTAATAAAAGTGCTGTGGTACCAATACAAATTGCTATTGTTAGTCGACTAAAAGCATTATAACTTTCATAATGTGTGATAAGCCACAATTTATGCGTGAGGCTTGTGAAAGAATGATAGATTAACACCATTACCAGTGCTCCTCTCCCTAGCACCCCCCCAAAAAAGATTTTCAAAAATGATGTTTTGATTAAGAAGACCCAGGAGAGGGATGGTCTACTGTTAAGAAAAGACAGCAAGGAAGCAGGTTTAGCCTCAGCCTTAGGCACCCTGAGAGACCCTGTCCGAAGGCCCACAGGGGCCTCTTCCAGGCTGTGTGACCATGGACAGGATGCTTGCCCTTTCTGAGTCTCTCCTTCTTCACTTAACTCTCAGAGGCTGTTGTGAGGATTAACTGAGATAATGGGTGCACAGCTCTGTAATGGCTCCGGGAGACCCTCAGCTCTCCAAGGAGCACAGTTTGAAACTACTTCCTTAAGCGATGGGAGTCACTGTGATGTTTTAAGTAAAGAAATAACACAATTTAATTTTTATTTTGGAAAGAGCATTAGAAATTTAATATGCTTGTTGAATGTGATAAGGGTGATATTCTTACAAGCAAAGTAAAGAAAGGAGAGCTAGATGATCCAATAGTGAGGTAAAGTCAAGCCTGTTGGTTAACCTGCCCTAGAGATAAAATATTAGAGTCAGCCCCTGTCCCTGTACCATGGGACACTGTGTTTGGTTCTGACCTTGTCTTTTTTTTTTTTTTAATTATCGTGGGGGAAAAAATACACATATAAAATTTACCATCCTAACGGTTTTTTTTTTTTGGCTTTTCACTTTTTAGTTTATATTGGAGTATCACCAATTAACAATGTTGTGATAGTTTCTGGTGCACAGCAAAGGGACTCAGCCATACATATACATGTATCCATCCTAACCATTTTTTTTTTTTTTTTGCGGTACGCGGGCCTCTCACTGTTGTGGCCTCTCCCGTTGTGGAGCACAGGCTCCAGACGCGCAGGCTCAGCGGCCGTGGCTCACGGGCCCAGCCGCTCTGCGGCATGTGGGATCTTCCCGGACCGGGGCACGAACCTGTGTCCCCTGCATCGGCAGGCGGACTCTCAACCACTGCGCCACCAGGGAAGCCCCATCCTAACCATTTTTAAGTGTACAGTACAGTAGTGTTAAGTATATTCACACTGTTGATTGATCTGAAACAGATCTCCAGAATTTTTTCATCTTGCAAATATGAAGCTCTGTACCAATTAAACAACTCCCCTTTTCCCCTCTCCCTCCAGTCCCAAAGAAAATTATAAAGACCTAATAGGAGAAATAAAGGAAGGAATACATAAATGAGAAACTAGATTATTTTCCTGGTGGGAAAGGCCCATGCACAAACTTTATTTAATACCAATTACATTCCCCTTTTGTAGAATAAATGAGGAAAATACCAGCTTTTTAAAAAAATGTATTAGGGGACATCCCTGGCAGTCCAGTGGTTAAGACTCTGCACTTCCAATGCAGGGGGCGTGGCTTCAATCCCTGGTTGGGGAGCTAAGATCCCACAGGCCGTGGGGTGCGGCCAGTAAATAAATTAATTACTTTTAAAAAATGTACTAGGGTCACACCTGTGATACCAAATTCATAGTTCATAGCCCCCACTTCATGTTGACTCTCAGCAGGTGGTCTGAGACAGTGACTAGGCATACCGTCCACAAGGAGATCTGAGCAGAAAACCTCTGTAAGAAAAAGCCAACTGTGGCAGAGCTGTGGAGAGACAAGTACACTTCTAGGAGAATGAAGCCTTTGTAAAAGGCATCAAGATTCTTCTAGAAGAATCTGGGAGAGTTCTACAGTGAGTGCAGTGGGAGTGCTGCCCACTACCAGGCCCAGACAACTGGGGCTGAGAAGCACAGGCCTGGCCCGCTGTCTCACCTGTGTGTCTCTGGCTAGGCCCTTCACCTCTTCCAGCCTCATCTGCAAAACAGGACAAAAACAATTTCGCCAAGACTAAGTTTATTCATTAATTTATTGATTCAGTGATTCATCCATTCACTCATTCATTTGACATATGTGTTGGGTACTGACCTGTGTGCCAGGCACTGTGCTGGGAGTACAAAGAAAACTAATACATAGGGCTTCCCTGGTGGCGCAGTGGTTGAGAGTCCACCTGCCGATGCAGGGGCCATGGGTTCGTGCCCCTGTCTGGGAAGATCCACATGCCGCGGAGCGACTAGGCCCGTGAGCCATGGCCGCTGAGCCTGCGCGTCCGGAGCCTGTGCTCTGCGACAGGAGAGGCCACAACAGTGAGAGGCCCGTGTACCACAAAAAAAAGAAAAAAAAGAAAACAATACATAGACCTTGATATTGAGATACTAGCAAATAATACAATCTACGTGAGGATGCTTGGTAAACTGTAAAGCATTATGTAAATAATATTTGGTATTATTATCTCTTTGGCTGGGGGAGGGGAACATGTCCCAACAAAATAGTTCAGGTATTGTTTCTAGTAGTAAAAATTTATTATCAACACAGATGCCCAATGACAGAAGAATGACCAAGCAAAGAACATGCTACAACTCTAAGAAATGTTAAAGGCTCTCACTTTTCCAAAATAAGCAGAGCTGCTGGGAAATAGGATGCTTTTTCTTTCTTGGGATTGGTCTGTTTGGACCATAAGAGGTGACAGAGCAGAGGAGAAAATCACCCTGCAGAAAGTTAATGACAGTTCCAGAAAGTGTTTGCAGATCAAACCAGCACAGGGTGGTGACTAAGCCTGAATCTGCACCACACCAGTGCAAATTATTGGAAAAGGAAAAAACCAATCATGTAACTGAGTATTTTGTCTGCAAGATGACAAGTAACCAATTAGGTTTCATCCACTGCCCCCAGCCCAGTGATTTGGGGGGTTGTTCTGACATTGGGTCGATGTGGCTGGGACACTCCTCCCAGCCTGCCTGGATGCCTGGTCCTTACTCTGCCTTTCATTTCAGACTACATCAACCTGTTCAGCACCAAGTGTCACGGTTGCGATTTCCCCGTGGAGGCCGGTGACAAGTTTATCGAAGCCCTGGGGCATACTTGGCACGACACCTGCTTCATTTGCGCAGTATGTTTTTTGCTTGGGGTTCTGACTTTCTGAGAAGAGGCAGGAGGGACCAAGTGGGGCCAGATGACCAACCCTTTACATCCCTTTCAACCCTGGCATTCTAATATTCTGTCATTTTTAAAAGCCGGCAAATACCATGATGCCTTGATATGTCACAGCTGAGCAAAGTTTTATTACTAATAATGATTTATTAACCAATATGGCTTTGTTACTCTCCACTTCATTAAGGACAGAAGAGTGTCTTAGGATCTGGCAAACTAGCAGCTTTCCTCAGCAGTGATGCTCTCACTAGGTGGGAAGAGTGAATGATGTTGGGATTTAATAGGGGCAGGTGGCTTCCCATGGTTATAGGTCATTTAAGATACGATGACATGATTCAACGGTTTTCCCCTAAATTTTCACCATGAACACTAGATTGGAGCTTATTGACTAATCCTATGAAAAGCTGAGATGTTTTCTTTTGACTGAACCTTTAGAAATCAGGGCTGAGTTTCATTGCATTTTCCTAAATGGTCCTGTTCTCAATATATAGTTGCCAGGAGATAAGCCCTAGATTAAGTATTAACCATGTGCAGTTTATTTCTGCTGAACAGCCAGGTCATTTTTACCGTGAGATTGACGTTTTCCTTCCAAGGGCTTTGGGTTGGGGAAGGGACAGGGCAATGAGCCTGCCGACATTTAGAGTCTGCATTAGAATTAGAAAACAGTCGTCCCTGATAAAGCCCCGTAATGTGAGTCTATAATTGACTAAACTTTATTTGGGAAAATCAATGTACTACTACTGCTTTTTTTTTTTTTTTTACCAGAGTTGCTCAAGGTAAATTTTGGGAATGTGTGAAAGGTGTACATAGTTTAAACTTGAACAATTATTATAGACTTATGACATAGGACAACCATAGTCATAATGTTTACTGCAATTCACTTCAGCTTTTATACTTCATTTCTATATCCCCTCCCATCTGTGGGGTGCATTGTATTCACTCCATATATTAGTTTGCTAGGGCTGCCGTGACAAAGTACCACAATTGAATAGCTTAAACAACAGACGCTTACTCTGTCACAGTTCTGGGGGCTAGAAGTCCAAATTCAAGATGTCAGCAGGGACCTGCTCTCTCTCCTAGCTGCTGGTGGTTGCCAGCCATGCTTGGTGTTTCTTGAATTGTAGCTGCATAACTGCGATCTCTGCCTCCATTGTCACAAGGCTGCCTTCCCTCTGTGTGTCTGTGTCTTCACATGACACTCTCCTCTGTGCAGGTGTCTGTCTCTGTGTCTCTTCCCTTCTTATAAGGACACTAGTCATATTGGATTAAGGGCCCACCGTACTCCATATGACTTCATCTTAACCTCAGTTTTAATTTAGTCTGCAAAGACCCTATTTCCAAATGAGGTCACTGCTATGTCCCTGTGCTGGATAGGCTGGAGGTACTCGGGGTTGGGACTTTAACATGTGAATTTAGGGCGGCACAGTTCAATCCATAACACTTTTTCCAGCCCTTTGAACAGATTCTCTAATTGCCTTTTAGGGTCCTTAAGCTATATCAGGACCTCCCCTCCAAAAAGGGACAACAATATAAATATACTGGCTTTGGGGTTGTCCCCTGAAGAGCCACAGCTCAGCGAGGCACCGTACAGGGCTTTCTGACCCTTACCTTCAAGCCATGGCTTGTCTGATCCTAAGATGCTGCCTGCAAATCTGGTTACCCAGCTTCTAGAAAGATCTAAGAGACTTGGAGGAGGTCCAGGGAAGACAGAGGCATAGAAGGCCTGTTCTCCAAAGGCAGGCTGATGAGAGGTCTGTGTCACATGGAGAGGGAATCATGCAAAGGTGAGCATGGGTCTGCTCCCTCAAGCTTGCCGTGTTTGGCTGAGTCATGATGGCACAAGTCCCAGAGAGAGACAAGAAGAAGCGGTAAAGCCTGGGGTTGTTCAGGCTGAGATTACAGATAAGTTCCAGTCAGGTGTGAAAGACCCACAGCACTGCCCAGAGGGTCTGCCCGAAGAAACCAGTCAGATCCCGTCCTCTGGAGAATCAGCACAGAGAATCGTTACACCTTCCCCCAAACTAGCCCTGCGTAGTACTCACTGCCCCATGAAGCTATATCAAAGTGGAATATGGTTTAATTTTTGGAAAGCAATATTTTGATTGGAAAACTTTCAGGGTTTTGTTTTCTTTGGTCCTTTTTCCATCACGTTGTATTTCCAAATCACTTTTAATGAGCATATATTTTCCTGTAACTTAAAAAAAAAAAAAAACTAGTAAGAAAGGAAGATCAGGACTAGCTCTTGCGGCTGACATGTTTTCCCATCAGTTAGATCTCAGGGGAGCACATACTTCAGACTAATTCAGTTGAGTTTTGGGAATACAAAAGTCTCCCAGAACAAGTCTCTACCTTCAAGGAATTTAGAATCTTGAAAGGAAAACAAAGCTGACATGTATGAGCAATTAATGAACAGAACAAGACAACATCTCTAAAGTCCCAAGCACATAAAATGAAGGCTGAGAAGGGCAGTGCGGGTCAGGGTGAGGGTTTACCTCCTGTCTGGCTTTGGCACTTGAGTCCTAATGGAAAGGATGTGAGTCCTACCTCAGTTGGGGAAACATGTCTTACTGGCCCTTCTTCTCCTTTAAGTCTAGTTGGTATCTAGTTGGTGTGGGTACCAGGAAGGGATGTGATGTGGTGTAACTTTTGTGGGCAGTCGAGGGGCCTCTGCAGCTGGCCTATTTCATCGCCTTCCACTCTGTCGTCAGCACTCTATGGCCACCACTCCTTCCCAGCCAGGCCCTGCTGCCACTTGACCACAGAGCCTGGGGGTTGGACCATCCCTGCTGTGCCGCTGTGATGGGTAGGTTGGAGGCCTCCTCCACCATGGAGCCCCATTGCATCCCACCTGCAGGCTCCTGGCCCAAGGCACTGAGTACGACCTCTCTATGACAGTTCTTTCCCTCAGTCTCATCTTATCAGTGAGCCACCTCTGAGGCTCTGGCCTTTCCTCACTCCTTGGTCCTCAGTCTCCCAACACCCTCTCCAGCCTGACTCATCCAGAGTTTTCACAAGCATCCAGCACTGTCTCAGACCAGGCAGGGTCTCCTAGCCAGAGCCCTGGCTGTTGACCAGCAGCTCCTTGCCAACTCATTCCAGAGCTGCCTTTCTGTCTCTCCCAAAACCCATCCTCACCAGTTGGATCTTGGGTGCCACCATCTTAGACTTGTCTCCAAGTTGTCACCACAGCTTGAGGCCACCACAGGAGCCTGGTTACACTCAATATCACTGCATCTACCTGGAATGTTTTGAGACACTTTCTCAGGTCATTGGCTTCCAGAGCCCATTGGCAGCCCTGTGTGATCTCAGGTATAACATCCTCAACTGGGCCATCAGGGTCTCACACTTGGGACCACCATGATGCCACTTTTCTTTCCAGCTTTCTTGGAGCGGACACATGCTCAGTGGCCCAAGCTCATCTCGGAAGGGTGATTTCTGTATCCTCATGCTTACCTCTACCTGGGAATTCCACCTGCACTTCCTCTCATGTCAATGTCCTGGATGTGGTCCCCAATTCTGCTCCCCACTAGGGATCTTCAGTGCCCTCTCTGAGGCTAGGGCCTGTCCCAGCCTATGTGACTTGCCAGCTGACTGGCAACTGGCAGATTGCCCACCCAGGACCAGACCTCATACTGGTAGTCCAGCAAGCTTAGTGAGCTACCTCGATACAAGTCCGTAAACCCAGAACAATTTCAAGTAAACATAGCCCCTCTCTGCTATGAGGTGTGGGGAGAATGAGCTTAGAACTGGAGTCTCGCAGACCTGAATATGGATGCCCAGGTTCTACAACTTTCTAGGTCTGTGACTTGAGCTAGACACTTGGGCTCTTTGAGCCTCAGCTTTCAATTGTGAAATGGGGAACAGTCATACCTATCCCATAAAGTTTTTGTGGGAATTAAATGAGACCATGTAGGGACCTCCCTGGCGGTGCAGTGGTTAAGAATCTGCCTGCCATTGCAAGGGACACAGGTTCGATCCCTGGTCCGGGAAGGTCCCACATGCTGCGGGGTGACTGGACCTGTGTGCCACAGCTACTGAGCCTGTGCTATAGAGCCCACTTGCCACAACTTCTGAGCCCACATGCTACAACTACAGAAGCTCGTGCATCTAGAGCCTGTGCTCTGCAACAAAAAGAAGCCACCGCAATGAGAAGCCTGTGCACCACAACAAAGAGTAGCCCCTGCTCACTGCAAGTAGAGAAAGCCCACATGCAGCAACAAAGACCCAACACAGTCAAAAATAGAATAAGATTAAAAAAAAAAATGAGACCATGTATACAGAGTGTCTGGCATCGTACTTGACCCACAGTAGTCTCAACAAATATTACTGATCTCCCTTCTTTTTGTTTTGTCAGCATCTTCAAACTGCACTCATATGTTGTCATCATGGGGATATATAATTTTGCCTCTTTTTTTTTTTCCAGTCAGTGTTTTCCTGCATACACTTTGCCATATTTGATTTATTTTTTCGTGGTGGCCTGTCATTGGAAAAATGCACCTTAAAAATTAACTTAATCATCTCCCCATTGAGAGAAATATTAGTCGTTTTTCAGTTTGTAGTTGAGCATATGTTGCTTTCCTGTTCTGTGCAATAGTTGCTGCAAGATGAAATTCTCCAGAGTGGTGTTACCGGGGCACAGGGCAGGCACATCTTCACGGCTTCTCTTCAGTGTTGCCACATCCCCTGCAGAAGGCTGCGCTGATTCATGTGTCCCTAGCAGTGACAAGGAGGCCTGATCCCCTTTTGGCATTGCTGACTTTTGACTGATTACTTTTTTTTTTCATTTTCTGGCTCCAGTCATATAAGGTTAAAGGTGACAAGCTATTGAGGCTTTTTGTTTTATTTATTTTGCTAGATTAACAGGTGTCTAGTGATATCTCATGGAGGTTTTAATTACTTTTCCCTTTAATTATTAGTGAGGATCATTTTTCTGACATTTTATATTTCTTTAGGTGTTAATCACTTCTGTGGATATTGACTTACGAATTTGTATTGGTTCCTTATAAATTTTGGATAGCATCAGTTGATCACCTTATTGTGTATATGTTCCGTACTCCATTAATTAAATTTAATTTAACTTGAGTTTATTCCATGTTCCTCTTTGGAAGTCTTGACTTTTAGATAGCTCAACGCATCTACACTGCTTTAGCTGTCAAGCACTTGTGGTAGGGAGAAGCAGGCTGTTGCCTATTCTCCCATCTGCCTGTGACAGCACTTTGTCTTAAAGGGGTGGCTGAAATCTTTTGTTTGTGTCCCCCTGCCTCATGGGCTGTCTCATGCCTATCTGTTCTCTGTCCCAGGTCTGCCACGTGAATCTGGAGGGGCAGCCATTCTACTCCAAGAAGGACAAACCCTTGTGCAAGAAGCATGCACACGCCATCAACGTGTAGGGAGCCCAGGGTGTCTGCTGGCAACGAAGGATTCAAGGAGGCTGATGTTTCTTTTTGGGGGGAAAAGGGAGAAGACAGGAAGTGACTGAGCCCTTTTGAAGTATAATTTTAGTCCTTTCTTCTGCACACAGATTGTGTATTTGCATAGTTCAGACTAGAAGCCAAATGAAGATTCCTGAACCAAGCTAGTAATTAATCCAAGACTGGAATTGTACTCCAAACACTGAGGACAGAATTCCAAGAACTCAAAAGTGAAAAAGAAAAAGTAACTTTCCCCACGCGATACACTTCCCTGAGGTCACCAGAGCAGGGACAGAGCTCAGAGCAGTTATGGAGAATCTGAAGCATTCTGCGGAGTTCTTTAGAGCTCCTCCAGCAAACAAAATGAAGTGCCAAACAGCCCTCGCTGCAGGGTATTTTTAGAGCCATAGCTGAGCGCTTGTTAGCTAAGGCCGATTGGGCTTTCCTCACCAAAAAAGGAAGTGTTATTCCATTACTCGCGTCATGGAGCTACCTCTGCGCATCAGACTTCAGACCTTGCACAGGCTTGAACATTCTCAAGGGAGCCCAGACATCGGAGGGATGTCTTCTGGGAGCCTCTGGGCAATCGACAGGGCTTCAGGAAAGGGTCAGGCTCACACCACAGACAGCTGAAGACAGAAGGGCTCTTCAGCTACCCTCTTTCAGTCTGAAACATCCAACGTCCCCAGAAAGCTTAGCTTCTTTTTGAGTTGTGGTGGGAAGGTGGAATTGGGTTTTTCCAGTTTTGCTTTGCTGTTTGTGAGAGGAGATTTTAAAACGACTCTGGGCTGTGTTTGGCCTCTGTTTGGCTTTACGAGGTTCATTAGCATGAACGTCTAGTCTTGTGCATGTGTTTCATTCCCAATACTATGACTGCTCACTGCTGAAGTCTTCCTCAGCACCCCTCCCCCCAACAGGCTTAGTGACCTGTGGAAAAGAAGAGAGAGACAGTGTCTGAAACAGGATGGCAGAAGAGGCTGAGAACATGCCCAAACCCTGGGTGGGGAAGAGGAACCTTCCTTTCTGCCAGCCTCAGTAAGAACGCAGGAGCTGGCAGGACCTCCCACTTCAGAGCTGCTCCATCCTTCTCGTATCTTCCTTTAAACGCAGTACACTGATTATATACAATTGTGTTGACTGCTGGAAGGGAAAGATGATATATGATATATACACGTTTGCCATTTTGGCCAATATTTTGAAAAAGTATGAGCTGAGTTGATCTAGCAATTATTTAAGCATTTATTGAAATAGACTTGGGCCTTCAAACTTCCTTAAAGTATTAGTGATAGTTTGAGTTAAGCAAGCATTTTAAAGCTGTTTGGTGATAAAGAGAGAAGCTTAGTTTTTGAGGTTGGAAGTGGTATATAGTCTCTTTCCCTTTTAGGAAGCGCTGTTATTATGCTCATTGAACATGGCCTTGAAGCAGGTGGTTTGAGTGGATGTTTCTCCCTTGAGCACAATATTTAGGCTCTCTTCCAAATCACTGGTACTCTCTCCTCACTCCTGTTTTGGATTTTCTCTTTGCATGTTTGAAATGTTTTATGAGAATGCATTAGAATACTTTTTCTTCTGAGAACTGAGGCTTCCAGGGGACTGCCTTTCTACCTGAGGGATAAGGAAGCAGCTAGATGTGTCTCTAACAAAAGGCCCGAGGTTTTTTTCCCAAGGGTGAAGTCACCAACATCCCCCAGGGAGCACCAGGAGGGACATAAGCGTGCTCCTACCACAGGACCCTTCTTTACTTCTGGTGCAGGGAAAAAGTCAATATAAAGCACCAGGCAGGGTAAAATCTGCAGGGAGTGCCTGGAGATTTTTCAAGAGTTGCAAACAAGCATTCTTTTATTTTTGGAAAGTTCAAATACACAGGAACAAGGAGGTTGCTGACTGTACAGAAAGGCTCTAGGCAGGTTTTCTCTTAAAAAACAAAAATAACAAAAAGAAACCCACAGCTTTTAAATTATCAGGGACTGGTCTCAAGGAAAGGGAAAAAATTTCCCTAGAGTTGTTTCCAAAAATATCGTTTAAAAGATTTTACACACACGTACACACAAGTGTGCCCATTAAAACGTGTATGATCATGAAAAAGAAAAGTAAAATCTCAAAGGAGAACTTCATCATAGTCATTTATTGAATCATTTTTTCTGCATTTCAGAGCTAGTGTAGATTCTGAGGGACTCTTTTATTTACCAAAACACAAAATCAACAACAACGGCAACAAACATTTTAAAGGTAGCAGGAAAAGGAGGTAGTTCTGAATATGGTTCCCTCGATGTTTGTAAGTTTGGCATAGCGTTGGGTTAAGGTTGTGTCTCTTTCAAGTTAACATCGTGGATGTCCTACAACACCAAACACAATTTTTAATAGTTCATGGTGGGGAGTACACTTTGGATCTACAGTTCTTGTCTCCTCATTGTTGACATTTATTTAACATTTATAAACATTAACTTTTTGCAACTGAGTGACTTATGTCTGCAGTGTTTGTGTTAGGAATCTAGCTTTTATAATGTTAACTTTTCAACCCAAGTACTCTTGCTTTGGGATATTTTTTAAAATTTTTAACATTTCAGAAGTGGAATATAGTGTGTTAGAAGTGTGCACAAAAATATTTTGCATGTTTTTTTTTTTTTTTGGCCTGTGTGAATTCTTTTTAGCAAAATAAAACCCTAAAACGGATGTGCAAATACAGATTTTTCTGTGTAAAGTTTCTTCATGTGACAACCAAAAGTAGGTTATTTCTATATGGCTGCAAATAAAAGTTTGAGACAAAACAAAATGCCCTGAGGAGAAGAAACATATAACTCACTTGCTCTTTTGGCTATCTGGCCCAACAGCAGTTTAATCGTCTTGTTTAAACAGACAAGGATATGCGGATAATACAAATGTTTTGCATACAAAATGAATTTACCAAGTAAATAATAACCTGAAGACCAGGCTTGGCCTTTTCCTTTGGAAAGATTTATTTATTTAGCTACTTTAGATTTATTTAGATAGTTCCATTTTTTTTTTTCTGTTCTAAATGACTTGATTTCTAGAAAAGTTGCTATATTTTCTTCCATATCTTTTGTCTTGAAATAAGCTAGAGTAAAATCCTCTCATGGCATTTTTTAAAAATAATGAAGACCCCTCAGAGGGTACTATGTTTAACACAACCAATTCATTCTTTTTCAAGGTATTCTATTTCTAGGCATTACTTTAAAAGAAAGGGATATTTTTCATAATTTATTTGATTTTTAGTACCCGAATCAGAGTTTCAGAGAGAAATAAAATCTTTTTATTTTAGTACTTTGTAAAGCTATAGCAATTTTTCACAGAGATGATGGAGAAAAAAAGGCTCATTGTCACAGAACTTAAAGTTGGAACCTAAGAGATCACCTGGGCATTTTCCAGATGTACGAACCGAGGCCCAGAAAGGGGAAGTGGCTTCCCGGCATATACACAACCAGCAGGGAGGCAGCCAGGTGCCATGAAATAAACATAGACTTTGACATGATAAGACCAGTGTCTTATCAAGCCTAGATCAAGGCTGATCTAATACCACCTGAATGATATCAGAAGAGTCTCTCTAAGCCTGCATATCTACCTGAAAATGAAGGTAATAACACCTGCATTTTGTTTGTTTTGAGAACCAAATGTAGTAACTTTTGGAAGAAAATTGCAATGCAAATGTTCCTTGTTATTATCACCAATAGAGTGGGCTCAGAACTCCTCACTCCTGCTTCATTTTCTTAATGCCTTCAACTTGTCCATTCAGAAAAAGTACATTGGGAAAACCAGCAGCAAGAATAAATATTCCACAAATATCCCAGAAGTATGAACCATGTGAATCAGAATTTGGCATAATTACCTGGTACCAAAATTTCTGCCCTCTTCACCGAGGAACTGTGGACCAAATAAAAATTGTTTGTTCAATACTTTACAAAGCCAGCATTACCCTGGTACCAAAACTAGACAAGGACACCACAGAAAAAGAAAATTATAGGCCAATATCTTTGATGAACATAGATGCAAAAATCTTCAACAAAATATTAGCAAAACAAATCCAACAACACATTAAAAGGATCATACACCACAATCAAGTGGGATTTATTTGAGGGATACAAGGATGTTACAACATCCACAAATCAATCAACATGATAAATCCATTGATAAAAGGAAGGCTAAAAATCATGTGATCCTCTCAATAGATGCAGAAAAAGCATCTGACAAAATTCAACATCCATTTATAAGAAAAATTGTCAACAAGGTGGGTATAGAGGGAAGATACCTCAACATAATAAAGGCCATACCTGGCAAATTGTATGTCCCATAAGGGGTTAATATCCAAAATGCATAAAGAACTCATACAACTCAACAATAAGAAGCCAGACAACCCATTTTAAAAATGGGCAGAGGATCTGAATAGATATTTTTCCAAAGAAGACATACGGCTGGCCAACAGACACATGAAAAGATATTCATCACTAATTATTAAGAAAATACAACTCAAAACCACAATGAGGTATCACCTCACACTTGTGAGAATGGCCATTATGGGAAAGACAGGAAATAACATGCTGGCAAGAATGTGGAAAAAAGGAAACCCGTGTACACCATTGGTAGGACTGTAAATTGGTGCAGCCACTGTGGAAAACAGTATGGAGATTCCTCAAAAAATTAAAAATAGAACCACCATATGAACCAGCTATTCTACTTCTGGGTATGTATCCAAAGCACACAACTAACTCAAAAAGATATATGCACACCTATGTTCACAGCAGCATTATTTTTTTCATTACTGCAGCTTTTTTTTTTTTTTTGATTTATTTTTGACTGCATTGCGTCTTCGTTACTGTTCGCGGGCTTTCTCTAGTTGCGGCGAGGGGGGCTCCTCTTTGTTGCGGTGCGTGGGCTTCTCATTGTGGTGGCTTCTCGTTGTGGAGCACGGACTCTAGGCACGCAGGCTTCAGTAATTGTGGCACGCAGGCTCAGTCGTTGTGGCTCGTGGGCTCTAGAGCATAGGCTCAGTAGTTGTGGCGCACGGGCTTAGTTGCTTCGCGGTATGTGGGATCTTCCTGGACCAGGGATTGAACCCGTGTCCCCTGCATTGGCAGGTGGATTCTTAACCACTGTGCCACCAGGGAAGCCGCTACTGCAGCTTTTTAAAAAAATTTTATTGAAGTGCAGTTGATTTACAATGTTATGTTTCTGGTGTATAGCAAACTGATTCAGTTATTATATATATATATATATATATACATATATATATACACACACACACACACACACACACACACATAGATATATGTTCTTTTTCATATTCTTTTCCATTATGGTTTATCACAGGATATTGAATATCATTCCCTATGCTATACGGTAGGACCTTGTTGTTTATCCATCCTATACACAATAGTTTGCATCTGCTAATCCCAAACTCCCAGTCCTTCCCTCCCCTCCCCTCTTGGCAACCACAAGTCTGTTCGTTATATCTGTGAGTCTGTGTCTGTTTCGTAGATATGTTCATTTGTGTTGCATTTTAGATTCCACATATAAGTGATATCATACAGTGTTTGTCTTTCTCTTTCTGACTTACTTCACTTAGTATGATAATCTGTAGGTCCATCCATGTTGCTGAAAATGGCATTATTTCATTCTTTTCTATGGCTGAGTAATATTCCATTGTGTGTATGTGTATATATATATATATATATATACTGTATCTTCTTTATCCATTCATTTGTCAATGGACATTTAGGTTATTTCTGTGTCTTGGCTATTGTAAATAGTGCCAGAGCAGCATTATTTATAATAGCCAAAATATAGAAACAATCTAAGTGTCCCAAGTGTGCATCAATGGATGAATGGATAAAGAAGATGTGATATATATGCATATATATACGTGTGTGTTTGTATATACACACGCACACAATGGAATACTCTCAGCCATAAAAAAGAATGAAATCCTGCAATTTGTAACAGCATAGATGGAACTTGAAGATATATGCTAAGTGAAATAAGCTAGACAGAGAAAGACAAATACCATATGATTTCACTCATATGTGGAATATAAAAAAAAACAAATGAACAAAGAAAATAAACTCACAGACACAGAGAACAGATAAGTGGTTACCAGAGGGGAAGGGGATTGGGGGGCTGGGTGAAAGGAGTGAAGGGGGTCAACCGTATGGTGATGGATAGCAACTAGACTTGTGATATTGATCACTTTGTAGTGTGTACAGATGTTGAATCATAATGCTGTACACCTGAAGCTTAAATAATAAAAATGTTTATTCATTTGCTTATTCATTCATTCTTTCAACAAATATTTATTGAACACTGAATGTGTGCCAGGCACTGCTCTGGACACTAAGAATGTGATAGTGAATAAAATAGACAGAAAACATTGTTCTCATGGAATGGAATCAGCCAAATTATGTATCTAATAATTTAGGTAAATGACTAAATTATTTTGGGTTAGTTCTGAGGAGAAATATTTTGACTATTTAAAGTGGCTCTGCCCAGTGGCACTGGCATTCAGCTGGACTTAAGCTCGTGAATGATAACATGGCATGAAGAATGGATTCTGGATCAAATGTTAGGAAATAGCTGCATATGCTATTCACCCTAGAGAGTCACAGCACACGTGGGAGCTGTGTGGGTACTGAGCCCCTCAATAAAGAAACCTGTTTAACTTATTTGAGAACAGAATATGGAACTCCAATTTGGGAAACGTTGCCTAAAGTTTTGGTTTAGGCTTTCCTGAGCTCTGACTTTCCCAGGACAATCCTAATGTCAAATAATCTTTCTCAACGTTCCACTTACACACTTAGTTAAACCATCAACAGCTTGGGCAATATACCTTTTTTTTTTTAATAGACTTTATTTTTATAGCAGTTTTAGGTTCATAGCAAAACTGAGCAGAAGGTAAACAGATTTCCCATATACCCCCTGCCCCCACACATGCACGGCTTTCTGCATTATTAACATCCCCCACCAGAGTGGTGCATTTGTTATAATCAGTGAACCTAAATTGACACATCTTATCACCCAGAGTCAGTAGTTTATATTAGGGTTCACTCTTGGTGTTGCACATTCTGTAGATTTGAACAAATGTATTATGGCATGTATCCACCATTATAATATCATATAAAGTTGCTTAAGAATTCACTGTGCTCCACTTACTCATCTCTCCCTCCACCTTAACCCCTGACAACCACAGATCTTTTTACTGTCTCCATAGTTTTTCCTTTTCCAAAATGTCATATAGTAGGAATCCTACAGTATGTAGCCTTTTCAGATTGGCTTCTTTGACTTAGCAATATACATTTCATTCTCCTCCATATTTTTCCATGGCTTGATAGCTCATTTCTTTTTAGCATTGAATAATATTACAGATCGACAAACACTCACTAAATGGCTAGGCTTTGTTGTAGGGATAGAAGATGACAATACAGACAAGGTTCCTGCTTTCATAAAGCTTACCCTCTAAAGGAAAGAGACAAGCAATAAACAAGTAGTATATAATCAATACACTGTAAGTTAATGAGTGCTACGGAGCGATGTGTTGGGGGCTGGAGTAAGCTACTTTTGGTCAGGTGGTCAGTGAAGACCCTGCTGAGGAGGTGACATTTGGGCTGAGGCCTGAATGTTGAGAAGAAACCAACCACACCAAAATTTGAAGTGGAGGGTAA